CAGCGCCCGTGCCTAGCAGTCTGTTGATGTCACCAAAACTGTCTCTTGTTGAAAGAAAGAGAAAAAGAAAAATGCCTCGTGGCCAGTTGGCCAAAGTGGCGCTCGCAATTCTGGCGGCGTGATTTGCGATGGAAAGACAAGGCAGCATCAGCAGCAGCATTAGTGCAGTAGTAGTGCACTAGCAAAGTGGTAGACTCAATTGAACACCGACTGAGAGAGGGAGGAAGGGGAAAAAGAACGGCAAGAGCAGGAGACTAGCAATTGAGATTAATACGAGAGTTGGAAGAGGAAGTCGGCCAAGTCCACGCTCTTTGCTTTCTATCACTAGCGCACACCGGGTCCTGCTTAATGGCTGCCCTGGCTCGCCTAAATCTCCTTTTCCTCTGCAAAGGCCCTCTCTCCCCTCCCTCGCTCCCTATTCTAACCCCATTGTAATGTCTCATGATTTATTGACTATTCGATTATTTCTCTATTTGCAAAAAATTATTATTATTTCCATTATTCGCTATGGCTTCGGAGACGACGACGACTACAAGCAAGAACTACTACTGCTACTACGACAAAAGCATCGCTTGCTTGCTTGCGTGTCTCTCTTTCCTCTTTTCTCTTTCTCTTTTTATGTGTGCCCGTGGTGGCTTCTAATTTAGTGCACTTGGGCACTTGGGCACTGCCAATGTTGCCAGTGTGTTTCCAGTATTGTTGGCCGCAACCAAACTCCGCTCTCCAATATTCAGGGGGCGGCCAAGGAAAGCATTCGGACTACGATGGCGGCGGCGACGTTGCCTCTGCTGTTTTTTCAACTTGGCAAATTACAAATTTAAATTCTCTCTTTGCACCCGCTCAACCAGCCAGCAAATACACACGCAAACCACAGTCGCAGCCAGTCGGGCAGATCGATTCTCGGGTCAGGCAGCTGTTTGTTTGTGCTGAGTGTGCTGTGTTTGTGCTGTGCATTAGATTCCTCCAGATTCTTGCACTCCTCACTCCTACAGCTTTGCAGCTATTTGACTGCAGTCATCCATTACCGACATTACCACAGCGTCCCAATACTTTACTTTTCACTTTTTCCCCCCTCTGCAGAAGGAAGCCATCGAGAAGTTCTGCGACGCGGTTGAGCGGAGATGTCGCGAGCCAGGGCCGCCAGGACTCCCAGGTACAGTACACTGCTGCTGCTGCTGTTTGGTGTGTCTGTTTCCGATGAGATACTAACTGGAGAGATGCACTACCATTTTTTGCTGTTTCTTCTTTTCTCTCTTTCCAATCAGGTGAAAAGGGAGAAAAAGGTGCCCAAGGCGAACCCGGCGTCGGACGAAATGGACCGAAAGGTACTTTATTTTCCGTTTTTGCTATTTTTTCTTTTTTCCCTCTTCTTTTACTGGTTGTTATTGTCATTTTTGTTTTTTTTGTTTTAGGCATTCAGGGCCCGCCTGGACCTAAAGGTAATTGCTGCTTTTTGCAGATTTTTTGCACGCAAGAGCATCTCTTTCAGCAGAATTTTTAACAGCAGCAGTTTTGACTTGCCTTGTCTCATTATTTTTTGTCTTTCTTTTCCATTTTCTTCTCTCTCTCTCTCTCTCTCTCTCCCTTTCGTCAACAAACAAACAAAACACACACATAACTAAATGATTACACAAACAATACGAAATAAACAAACAAACACAACCAACCAATCTCAAACAGGCGATTCAGGGCTGGATGGAAGGGACGGCCTGAACGGTGAGCCCGGCCTTGATGGCATCCCCGGAAGGGACGGCCTTCCCGGGCGACACGGCAGCCCCGGTCAAGCGACTAATGGCATTCCAGGTGAGCTGATAGCTGCTGCTGCTGCTAGAGCACGACAGTGCACTTCCCATCTTCGGCAGGGTATTAATGACTACCACCATTGCACAAACACACACACACACAAACACCAACTGAATCTATTATTCACAACTGCTAACCGATCGTGTATATCTGTGCTTATTTTCTTTTCTCTTGCCCTTTTGCTGCTGCTGCTGCTTCTGCTGCCATTACCGCCGTATTGACCGAAATTGATAGGGAGAAATGGCACCGATGGTAAGTGTGTGTGTGTGTGCAGTGCACAAGGCATTCGACTTTGATGCCTGTGCGCCTGCATTTTTGTTTCGTTTAATGTTTGTTGTAGCCTTAATTATTAATTCGCCGTCGTTGTAACTTTTACTCATTCACACGCACATGCACACATGCACATGCAGGCAAACCAGGACCGAAGGGAGAACCAGGAGTCGCTGTAAGTGTTGCTGTTGGCGTTGTTGTCTTTTACCGTTTGGCAGCACTTTTTTTAGACGTAGAAGTAGTAGTAACCAGACATTCTTTTATTTTGTGTGTTTTCCAAATGCCTAACTAATCACTGCACTTTTCACTCTATATTTTGCTTTTGAACAGGGAAAGCCTGGTGAGCAGGGTAAGTGAAAAGGGAAAGGAGTGTGAAATGGCAGGCAGAGAAGCAAACTTTTTCAAATCTTCCTCTCTTTTACCAACTTTTTCTCTTGTGCAATGAATACTATTAACAACTACCTGCGACACTAACTAACTGTGTTCATCTGTGAATCATCTAAATTGCCGCCACCACCTCCACTACTTTCATTCCCATTACTACCAGGACCACCAGGTACAGTAGCAGCTTGTTCAGCAGTGCTGCCTCATTTGAATGTTTGGTTGCCTGCCTGCCTCTCTGTCTGTTTGTCATTATTCTAAGTGCCAATTAAACTACCGTCTAGGTCGCCGAGGAAAGACCGGTCCGCCTGGCGCTGATGGTAAGCTTTCTTTTTCCCTTTTACTAATCCGCTTAGCATAAATGCAAAGCAATGAGATATACAGTAAAATGAAATGAAATGAAATGTAATGACACAAAAATGCCCTGTTTTTTCTTCTTTTCAACTTTTGCAACTTCAACTTGCAAACACACACTTTGCCAATTAGGCAGTCCAGGCGTCCAGACGCAGGCGTGGATTCACGGAAACAAAACACTGCTGAGTAAGACACTACTACTCACTATTGCTGCTACTAATTCCACGCTGGTCTGCTTCCATTGTGCTCACTGATCGCTTTTTCCTTTTCTTCTTCCTTTTTCTTCTTTTGGACTGGATTGTGCAGTTGCACCAGCAATTGATGACATGACTGATAAGGAGCTGACCATCACCGTGAAGGAGGGCGAGAGCGTCAGTCTGAAGTGCGCCGCCAGTGGTCAGCCGAAACCGCTAATTACTTGGCGACGAGAGGACCGTCGACCGATCGCCATCGACGGAACATCCTGTGAGTGCATTGGCAATTGCTGCAGTAGAAGCAGCAGAAGCAGAAGCAATTGTCTGCCTTCTCTCCCTCATTAGCTCTCCATAATGGCCACTTATGTTTGCTGCTCTTCTTCTTTGCTCTTTCTTTTTCCTTCCCAACCACAATCACTAGATAACATGGTGGAGGCAAACGAGCTGAACATTAGTCGAGTCAGTCGCGAGAATCTCGGTACGTTTGTCTGTCTCAGTGTGTGTGTTTGCAATTGTGTCTTCTGTATTTCGTTTCTGATTGTCCTTCTCTCTTCCTCTCTTCCACTCAACTGAATTGCTCCTTTGTACGGCAATTTTTGGTGTTGGTGGTGGTCTCCCCGTGCTGTGCTGAACACACTACTACATTCACTACCACCACCACTACAGGACAGTACGTCTGCGTGGCCAACAACGGCATTCCTCCGGCAGCGGTCAAGAGAGTGAACCTCTTTGTAACATGTAAGTAAAATTACGGTTGCCACGGCTGCTGCTGCTGCTGCTGCAATTTGGTGGTGGTGGTAGCAGTTGATTGAGTGGTGGCGGTGTTGTGTTGTGTTGTGTTCACCCAAGAATGCCTGAACATTGTCTTCTTCTTTCCCCTCATTCTCTCCCTTCTTTTCCCCTCCTCTCCTCCAGTTCCACCATTAGTGAAGATTGCCCACTCGCAGCAAATAATTGGCGCCTCGAAGGGCGGCAGTGCACTGCTGCAGTGCTACATCGAGGCCTACCCGGAGCCGTTTGTCGAGTGGATCTTCGGCGAGGCGCGCGTCCTCGTGGAGGGCGGTCGGCTGAACATCAGCGAGGAGGTGCTCGACTGGCGCCTGGGCGAGCCGGTCAGCCGGCGGGCCCTGTTGACGGTCAGCGGGCTGGCCGCAGAGGACTACGGCACCTACCGCTGCCAGGCGAGGAACAACCGCGGCCGAACGTACGGCATCGTCTCCCTCATTGGTATGCATACATTCGCAGTTTTTTTCGCAGGCCAATTTTAGTGTTTTGGACAATGAGAATTTGCTGCCTGTCCTCTTATCGTTTTTCTGTTGTTAGTCGATGCGGGGGTGCCTCCAGGCGCCAAGGGAGAGAGATGCAGTTTGTTATTTATTTATTTATTTATTTATTTGGTATTGCTTTTTCACTACTATTACTATTCTACTATTCCCCCCCCCCTTCAGAAACAGACGCAAAGAAGGCGCTGGAGAATGACACGCTCAAAAAGAACTCCTTTGTGTACTACGGCGAGGTAAGGTTGCTTTTTCTGCTGTTCACTGCTGGAATTTTCCTGTTTGTCTCCGTTGCTGCTGCTACTGCCTAGTTGCTTCCGAGAACAATCATTTAGTGTCTTTTTATTCTTTGTTGACATCTGTACAACTAACATTTATTCCCTTTCCTCTTTTGCCCATCACCACCACTACCATTATTATTTGTTATCAGATGCCAAAGCACATTGAGAAGAAGACGCAGTGTGAGCCGTGTCCTGACTGCGTCGCCAGCAGTAGTCCCACCTTTGCCGGAAGCGACGAGCAGCAGTGCAAAGTCGGCAGGAAGGCCATTGTCAGCATGGGCGTGCCAGTGTACTTTAACTACACACAACTGAACAAACGGACGACCGGTAATATTCTAGCAGACGGCTAGTTTGACGCTGCTGTTTCCAAAGTTTCCCTTTCAGACATTCGTCAAACTTTTATCTGTTTTCCTTTTTCGCTTGTGTGTTTCGACGTTTAGAATGCTACCTCAGCCAGATTGGCAAGCCCGTCTTCAACGGCAAGTACGGCAATGACAGCAACACCAGCCAGCCGCCGGGCTGTTGGATGCGCGATCCAAAGCCGGTGAAACCGGAAGATCGCGAGAAGTACTGGCTAACGCTGATGGAGAGCACCAACCTCCTGCAGGAGTTTGCCTCAAAGGAGGCCTTCCGCAACAAGGCGCCCACGGTCAACTACACACTGCTGCATCGCTTCACCGGAAACGCGCAGACCATCTACAGCGGAAAGTTTTATTACGCCGGCGAGGGCACCAACAAGGTGGTCATCCTCAGCCTGGACACGCTGGACACCGCTTTTGTGACGCTGATGCCCGCCAGTTCGACGTCTGTCTCTATCTCTACTTCGGCATCACATCACCACAACCTGTCTCGGCGGCCAATGACCACCACCACCACTACCGGCGCTCGGCACGTTCGCAGCCATCACCACGGTCACCATCACCGGCGTCGAATGGCCGGTGGTGGCGGTGGTGAGAAGGACCACTCGTCATCCACCTCCTCTTCCCAACCGGCCACCACCACCAGTCGTCGGCTATATAGAAATCAGCTGAACAGCATCGACATCTCGGTGGACGAGAACGGCGTCTGGCTGCTCTACCCGAACCTGTACAGCGACCTGAACAGCACCATTGTGATGAAGCTGAATGGGAGCCAGCCGGAGTACGTCTGGAACCTGACCATCGACTACCACCAGCTGGGGGAGGCCTTCCTCCTCTGCGGCGTCCTCTACGGCGTCGAGTCAGGGCGGACGGAGCGGACGCACATCGCCTTCGCCTACGACCTCTACACCAATCGGGAGCTTAGCAAGGAGATTGGCGGCGGAGAGAAGGTCGCCTTCACTAATCCCTTCCTCGGCACCGTCTACATTGGCTACAATCCACTGTACCGGTACCTCTACACCTGGGACAACGGCAACATGCTCGAGTATCCGCTCAAGATTGACGACACTCTCCGGCGGCCGGTGGCCAAGAGTGGAGCTGCTGGTGCTGGTGGTGATGACGGAGGTGGAGGTGCTGCAGTCTCGGCCGCCGGTGATGAAGAGGAGAAGAAGTAATCGGCGGAAAAGTGTTGGCCATTTTTTCTCCCCTTCCTTTATATTCTTTTTTTGCTTCTTTTTTCTATCCTCAAGTGTACTTATTCTCTCTTCAGTCCGACGACAGTCTCAAACGACGCACAAACACTCGAGCTGCACTCTCACACACTGACTTTGCGCTCTATTGTGTCGGCAGAAATTTTTTCTTCTGTTCTCCTCTTCTAAGCACACATTTATTAAAAAGCTATTGATGACTATTGATTCTGACTTTCTTGCTTTTTTTCTTTGTAAGCTGTGCAGTGTATCCACTACTACCTCGGGGTGAATTCAACTATCTCTGCTTGCTGGTTGTGTGAGTGTGTGTGTCGACAGGAACTGTTTGCTTGCTTGTACTTTCAGTTTGTAATTCCTAATACTAAGTGTACTCTCAGCAGCAGCAGCAGCAGCAGTAGTAGTGGTGGTGCTGGTCATTTAAGCGCAATAAGACGGCGAAAAGTGTACTGTGGGTCGATTATGAAGGGGTGAGTGAGTGTGTGTGTGTGTGTGTAGAGGAAAGGGATTAAAACTTTATTCGCCGCCATTTAGTCAGTCAGGCGTCGAGAAAAAGAGCAAGAGAGAGGCAGAATTTGCAGAAAGTACTGCCGCTGATGTTGCTGTGAAGCGCTTCCAAGATGACAGCTTCGATTGCTGGCGTTGCAGCAGNCAGTCAGACGGCGAGAGAAAGCTAAAGAGAGCAGAATTTGCAGAAAGTGCTGCTGCCGCTGATGGCGCTGTGAAGCGCTTCCAAGATGACAGCTTCGATTGCTGGCGTTGCAGCAGCAGCAGCAAGACTCATTAGTGCTTTCAGTAAGAAGAAGAAGAAGAAGCAGTGCAGCTGGAACATCTACTGCTGCTGCTGGGACATCATCCCCAGCCATCTAACAAGCTGTGTGTGTGTTTGCCAACACCATTTCATCGGAGTCAATTTGCCTTAATTGCAATTGCCTTGTTGACTGAATTCCCCCTGCTTTCCCTCCCCTGCTTCTTCTTCTTTGTATGGTAGCTCTGTCGTCTTTCCCTGCTATTCTGCAGCTCAAATCGCACTTTTTCCCTCTTTTCTGCACTAAGTAGCGAACTGCGCGCGAATTGGTGAGGTTCAGCAGATAAGGCACGCACGGAAAGGCGCTCCTCATCTTCTTCTGCCGCTGCCTGGCTTTTCTCCTCTCTCTCTCTACTCATAACTTTGCCGCCAATANAACTGCGCGCAAATTGATGAGGTTCAGCAGATAAGGCACGCACGGAAAGGCGCGCCGCATCTTCTTCTGCCGCTGCCTGGCTTTTCTCCTGCCTCCTCTCTCTACTCATAACTTTGCCGCCAATATCATCTCTGACTCATCTCTCCTCTTCCTTCCTCTTTCAGCTCCCTGTACACTTTGGTGGTAATTAATCAGAAAGTATAACAGCAACCGAGCTCATCTTCACCAAACAGCACACCAACTCTGTGCAGGCTGGCACGCAGAGTTATAGATATTATTCCGACAATTAAAGTGTCAACGCTTTCCTCTCAAGTTTCATCTCAAGTTTCATCGAGGAGAAAACGAGTAAACGAAACTTTCTTCTTCTTCTTTTTCGTCGTCGTCTACTTTGCGCCAATTAGCTCGATGTAAAGTGCACTTAAGAGAGGGAAGGTAAAAAAGAAGGCAAGAATGGAGGAACAAGAAATGAGATTTCTTTGCTTTTGCTATCTCGTTTGCGCTGTCGTGTTTACTTAAACAAACGAGGAGGAAGGGGAGGAAAAAGTAGTAACATTGTACAGAAAAGTGGAGGGATGAATCTGGTAAAAGACGACAAAGAAGTGAAGAGGGAAACATCATCCCCAAGAAATGGCTACACTTACCATTGAGTTAATGAATCTGCTGCTGTTGCTGTTGCTGTTGTTGCTGTCGTTAGAATAATGGGACATAAAACAGGCCAGGGGAGAATTTGCGTACTCTTTTCTTCTCGCTGCCTTCTGTTTGCCGAATCCATCATCGTCGATCTGCTGCTGCTGTTGTCGCCGTTGTACAGCGGATATGTAAACAGAATGCACTTGTCTGACTTGTCACCTGCATATGCCCGGCAAAGCACACATTCAGCAGCAGCAGCAGAGGCAATCAAGTGGTAATTTCTAATGGAGTAGTGCTTTCGCTGCTGCTGTTGCTACTGTTGTTGGCATTGCCCATGAGTAATTTGACAATCTGCTCTTTTTCTTTCTCTTTCTTCCCCCAATCTTGTTCTTGATTTTCCTCCTCCTCCTCCTTCTCTCCCCGCTATCGCATAAACTGACTACAAAACTGACTCAAACAACGTGAGTGTGTACGAGTGTGCGTTGCCTGAACACTGCCTGTCACCGCCGGTGATGAACGAGGTGAAATTGACCGGTAAAGGTCAGCCAATTGAGCAGTGTTGGAAATCAGCAGTTGATAACGATGACCTTGCCTTTTAGTTGCCGAAGTACTGAATGGTGGTGGTGGTGGTGAGTTGTGCAAGGGATCAGTACTCGTTTCAATAGAAGTGCACAAGCACTGCTCTCGTGATCTGATGACATTTACTGCTGCTGCTGCTGCCTTTGCTGTCGCCAATTAGTATCAATTGTTTGACTGAAAAAACTGATTGGCTGTCTGAAATGCCTGCCTGGTTGACTAATTATTCTGTTGTCGACTGGAGGGGAAGAAAAAAGCCAAACAGATACTGTCAATTACCACTACCACCCGTACAACAGTACAACACCAGATGCCGAAAGAGTGACAGTGTACAAACAGTGGCAGGCAGCAGCTATGCAAATAGGAATCCAAGTGTGTGTGTGTGTAGGTGTGTGCCTCTCTGGTTGTACTGTTGTGTTTTGCTGGCGCTACGTCCGCTGACACAGGTGATCAATAGGACACTGAAAAGTGCCTGTGTGATGCACCTTTCCAATGACAACAACAGCAGGCAGACAGGCATACCGATTGCCAGGCAGCAATTGGTCATGGTAGTGCGATAAAACAAAAGCACCAATCAGTTTTTATTTAGTTTTCGTTAGCATCACCGCTGAATGATAGAAAAGAGAGATCGGCACCAATGATTGGTAGTATTAATTTGCTGAAACTGTTTGACTGACTGACTGATTTGCAGGGTACAACTCTTTCTACTTTCTCATTTTCATTTCGCAAGCCTCATTAACTGGCGGCGTAACCAGCCACAACTAAAAGTTTTATTAGCTGAAAAGATTTGCCAATTTTGAAATGAGGTAAGTTTCATCATATAACTGCTTATTATTTTTGTGCAACTTTGCTTTTTCTATATTTACTGTAAATTTGAGTGCCAATGTTTCCGGATCAATGCTACTTTGTTGTCACTGAAAACTGAAAACAAAAAACAAACAAATATCTCACCAT